CGATGAAGCGATGGTGCCTATGTGAAGGGTGTCATTGGAATGTCACATCCCATGTGCAGTAATTGTAAATTCTGGCCATTTTTCACACTTTGGCTGCCCAATGGTTCAGTCTTCAGAATCTCAGAATTAATATTACCAACTGTCTATTCCAGAATTGGTTAGATTGCAAAGTTTGGACTATGCAACTAAAGACGAGAATATTGAAGAGGCAAAGCCACAAAGAGGAAACCTAGTTTTGAGAAATGGCCTGTATTGATATTCCGTGACTAGAATGGTACTCAAATCAGGTATCGGTGCCCCTTGCCTTAATCAGCAACCAATTAGAGTTAATTGAAGTGCGGGTTCAAGACAGAGCCCTGGTAAATCCATCATGCTAACACAAGACCCTCATCCTTTGGGAATAACATCAAATAATCATGTACTGCATGGCTTACTACCGGTACCAACACAGCTGTGACTGAAGAATATGTTTAGAGTCGCAGAGTTCCACAAAAACAGCCTGGCAATAAATAAATCATTTTTTCTCCCCCATGAGAACACCAGATAGTGATATAATCTTTCACTGGTCATAAATGTGTCAACAGTGATACGCGTAAACAATCTTCAGTGTAAATTACAATTTGATGATTTGATAGTTTGTTAAGCAGTTCTTATCTCCAGTCAGACGATTTTAGACGGTTGTATTTCAGGAATTTCCGCTTCACAACTTTATCCAACTGTTGAAAGCTGCGCCTTAAAATTCCAGCATGGTCACCTCAGGTCTGGAGTCCTGTATCTTTGAAATACAGTTCGAAACACCTTTTACACCATGCTTGGATCACATTTCAATTTAATTTTACAAGACCAGATCATTGGACTCCATTCAAGAAGATACATGTATAGTCTCAGGCAGCATGCTGGTGGAGAGCCATAAAGTAATTTGTCAAAGTACATGTGTGATCACTCAGCTTTTTTGCAACTGAAAAAGTACGGTTCTCTTTTCTCCTAAAAAATGAGTCATATTTTGTCACTAGATGCCCGCTTTTCTTTGAATTAGTGAAATGTCACCGTTTTATTCGGTGTTTCCAGAACTTGGCTAAGTTTACAGGTATTGTTCCTTTCATTACACGTTGATGTAAACCTACTTTTTGTTTGCATGCTAGATGTGTGAGTTTGCTCAAACGGTTCAGGAGATTGATATACCAGTAGTTTGAAGCATCAAAAATTGACAAATAAAACCCATGCTTGGTCGAACCACAAAAGGGCAAATGCACTTTAAACCACATGCCCAGATTAAAATAAAATAAACCTTCCTAAAATGTGATCCTTTTTGATCGCTGGCAAGATAAGGTAGCGGCAACAGCTCAATTGGAACGATTTCCGGTTACCGGCGCCTCTGGAAATTGGAAAATTGGCAGTAACTTTGCAAATTGAATTAAGGAAATTGAGAGCCATTGTCCAGTTTTAGTTAATTTACATTGTGGTTTAAATGATTTCCAGAGTACAGCTGAGATTTGAAAAGTTTGAGGTTTAAAAACCAATGGATTCTTGCAAACTCGTTATTTGTTTTTTGAAGGCACTTGGAGCTCAAATGAAATTAAAGGATTTAAAATTTGGTTATTACACCGACAACTTTTGATGCAAGAACAAAAGAGAATGTTTTGAAGGGCTAGCCAGTTTTTATCCTCTTGTCTTTGTCCGTTATGTGGTTGAGTTTCTCCAGGGCGACTTCTTTTGGCCACTGTCTTCCTGCAGGTTGGCATGGAAATGATACACCAGCAGCCGACTTTACAAGTCGGACCAGGTGTGCTTGCACTCTGAGCCAAGAAATATACCAGCCTAGCGGGTTCTGCTTGTCAGAGTTGAACTAAATCTGATCATAATTGCTAGCGAAAACCACAATGCCACCTGGGTTCCTATCTAAGGTTCCACTGGCTGCTAACGGAAACAGCCTCAGGCAAATTTTTAGATTTTTTTTTAAGGGGGAAAATTCAGATTAATTTTCAGTGGGGGGATAAAAATTCCAGTTTTTTTCTGCAGGTGTGTTTAAGCTGCAAGGATTAAAGCTTGTGTATTTATTTTGCATGAGTTAATATCTTGTGTTTATTTTGGTTTGGATTAAAATCTGTGTATCAACAAAAAAATTGACTGAAGTTAAAAGGACCTTTTCCCATCCACACATTGAAGCATGCATATTTTCTGTACTGGAATTAGATGGATGATTACTCAGTACTTGACAGTTTTTACAATTTTTTGACAGTCTGTGCGTAGCTGGTGTTTTGAACCAAAGTCATGTCCTTTTCACTTTTTGATGTGTGTCAGCTGATGGTTTAGAGAAAAGTCAGAAGTTGTATTGATGTGTTTACAAGGAACTGACTGAGCCCTACATGTACTGGTGTGCAAGCGCTTGTAATCAACATACCGGTACATGTAATTTATAATTTGACAGATGTTTCCATCATTTTCTTCCAATGTGAGTAGCAGTGACGAGAACTTCTTGGATGATTAATCATAGAAATTGTCCTCTGTATCATCACCTGTGTAAATGATACTGTATGGTATAAATAGTGCGGTAAAAGACCAGGAAGTAACAAGTATTGTTTACTGTGATGGTAGAATTGAAACAACAAACAAGAAATATTCAAGTTAATTATCCTTGTGGTGTGCACATTTGCATGAAATTGTTAAGCAAGCAGTGGCACTTATCTTTAGGATTAGTTTTCTAAGTGAATGTGTGTGAGCAGTGAGGAAGTGTCTTTGGGAAGTCATTGCTTCAGATTAACCCTAACAGTCCTCAATCCTCCAATTTCAAAATATTTCTGCACACATGAATATCCAGGGGGGGTTGGGTGAAAATGTTCGTAGAATCTCTGCAGTGAATGATTTATTAATTGGGGGAAAATCTGGGAGGAATGGGTGTTGAGATTAGCTCCCACATCTTCCCTTGAAACATCCTCAAAGCATTCTAAACTCTAATTTAAAAAGTTTAACGGTTTATTCAATAAACGTTAAAACTTGTAAAGAGTCTAAGCTGATAAATGTTCCCTTCAATTGTAGATAATCATTAGACACATAATTTCAACTTGAAAATGGCCCAGTCTTTGATCTGCTCATTCATGAGATTGTCTGCTCATTCTGGAGATTAATCATAAATATTCATGAATTGTGGTGTAGACAGGAAATGGCCCCTGCCCATTGTTTGGTGGACCCTCCTATTTTATACTTGTGGTTCAGCTTTTTTTCTTCTATTCTAATAGCACACACACACCTTTGCTAAGCCCTCTCAGTGTTTGTTTATTTGATCTACACCCATGGGGTGCAGATAATAGACATAAGCAGCTGTGGTTGTATTGTATGGGGATAGCCGCATAGCCAGCCTCACAACTGTACCATACTACATAGACTGCTTCACACCACAGCATCGGCCACATTCCTAGACTTACCTGTTCCCACATTCTGTCAAGGTGATGACACAGGTACATGTAGATCACCTGTTCACAGATCTGGTCCATTGGTCACAAGTCCAGTAACATGATTGCTTGCCGTTCATTGCAGACACACCTTTATTTTCTGTGAGTTAGCGTCTAGACAGAAATTCGGTAGGTGAGATTTACATTATAGATTTTTATTCCTTGGATAATTGTACCAGTTTATTTTGTGATGTTCACCTTTTGATAAGATCTTGTAGTCCTGTCTGGCGTGTCCTAACAGATTCAGTGTAAACAAACTGTACTGGCATATGATCTGCCATATTGTATGCGCTTTATCAATGTAAAGATTAATGGTGGGCACTTTTGCTTACGAAGGGACATGTAATTTGTAACATTAGCTACTTTAATGATTGTACAATGTGTGTTTTGTACGTGCGGAGTTGTTGCTCAACAGTTGTAATTTATTATCAATCAAACCATGCCCATGAACCCTTGCTCTGAGCAGGAACTAACTTTAAACTTGCTGCATATTGTGTGTGTGATACATCTGTCTACCATGTGTAAAGTGAGTGTGCCTGTGCTGAGGTTGTCAAGACCAGCTGGCCTCAAGCCTGTTTTTACAAGGGATACCAAAAAAGCCTTGCAATAGAATTGTTTCCTTCAACATTCCCTTTAGCTGGTATATTGCAGATTGCCCCAGTCTGAATTATTTTATCAGCCTGCTGGATGATTTGTCAGAGTTTTATATTTAGGTTCTTGGATTTTTCTGTCTGACATAATCAGTCTATTCGGGTCATGCTATTTAGCGTCAACAAAGTGTCAACTAAATATTCAAGCATTTTATACAAATATTTTATATTTACAATATTAGTACGGCTCCTACATATGATATTATCCAAAATGGTATTTGAAGGTGGAAATTTGAGCGACAAATTTGGGCCTGCTTGTGCAGCCTGACCGGCCGTCATCTTGTTTTCGTTTGGATGGTAAAGTACAGAAAGATGGCGACTCTGTACGTCACGAAAAATTTTCTTTTTCTGCATGAATCTGGAAGCGAATTCGGTGTTTCTTTTACACAGTGGCAGGTCTTAGAGTCTCTAAATTAAGATAAAGCTACTTTTAAATCCTTAGAGGGTATTTTCAAGTTGTTGATGCTTTGTTGATGCCAGTTGTATGTGTTGAGGCTTGATGACGCTAAATAGCATGATCGTTCTATTCAGCTGGTGTAAATACATGTGTTTGTGCTAGTGTCAGTGAATTCAACCTTCTGTTAATCTCATACAAATTTTGCTCAGCTTTGATTGGGCAATTTGAATGTTTTCTCGGCAAGCCCTTTGCCCCCCAGGACAGAACAGACAGGGGTTTGGTAGCCTCACAAGGGTACATGTACTTTTAAAGTTTGGCTGTTTCTTGCATGGAGTTCAGTGCAAAGCCAATGCAGCTGTAACAGGGAAGTCCAAGTTTTCACCAATCCCACAAGTGGAGTACTCTCCTTGGCTCCTATATGCAAAACAAACTGGTGACAAGTTTTCCTCCAAGCCATTTCTCTTCAACCAAAATCTCCAAACTTTTCCTTTTATTTCTACACAGACTCGAAGAAATCTGAGATCGACTTTTAGTTGAGCTGTAGACAGCGGTGAATATTTGCGCTGTGGGAAATCAGAGTTGTAGTTTGACTCAACCTTCATATGCTTGCATCCTGAGGGGTTTTGTTGGTGTTGAGTAGATGACGTCACTGCCGTCCACAGGCACGCTGCCGTGAACAGCCTTCAACTTAATGGCACTCTGCCCATCTCAAAACGAAAAAAAGGACACCCTACTGCTTCTGCTCTAGGCAAGGTGGGGACCAGAACCAACCCACTCCGCAATCATGCTTCACCAACACAGACACGCACTGTGCGTGCTCCTATATCTGATGTTACTATGGCTCACAAACTGTACCTGGGTCAGTGCTGGAAGGACTGGACGCAGGGGTCAAGGGTCACTGAGGTCACAACCTCAATCCCGCCCCAGATACTTGAGAAACAGAAAACCAAACATAGTACTTGTCATAACAGATGACCAAGATTTACTTTTAGGTGAGTATACAACTTAAAAAGGTGTTTATGGATGGGAAACATTGCAGCTGAAGGGATCAGATGTAAAGTAAACAAGGACAAACAGTCATCATAACATTGAGGAAGAACTTACAATAGTTAGTGACAATTCTGAATGATATGTGGTTTGGGAAAGCAGAGAAATAAACTACCGGTAATCGCCGAGATCTCCCCTTGATCCTTCAAAATCTGGTTGATAGTCGGAACGATTTTTGAAAGAATGAAGTAATAAACGCCCAGCCATGATTACTTAACATGGAGCTTGAAAGTTCCTAAAAGGTTGATTGCAAAGTTTGTCCTTGATTCACTGCACATTGGAGGATATTTTACAGTTCTCGGCAAAAATGTATCCACATGAATGAGAGGAATATGTGGAATAATGAGCCAACCTAAGCTCCCACATTAGTTTAATGTGGTAGGATAAAGTTACATGTACATTAAGTTTGAAGAAAGCAAGAGTTCCATTTCAGTAGTGCGAGGCTCACATCCTTGTGTCATCATTGTGCATTGTATTGTAACTTGTGATTGGTTGATACATGAGGCTCACATCCTTGTGTCATCATTGTGCATTGTATTGTAACTTGTGATTGGTTGATACATGAGTGGGTGTAGGTTTACTCAAACCTCAAACTACTTTTTTTCCCCCCAACTGTTCCTCATAGGTTCTATGAGTGCAATGAACAAAACCCAGATGGTGTTAGGTGACAGTGGGGCTAACTTCATCAATGCCTTTGTGACCACACCCATCTGCTGTCCGTCGCGCAGTAGCATCTTGACTGGCCAGTACGTTCACAACCACCATGTTTACTCCAACACGGAGCACTGCGGCTCCTTGGCCTGGCAAGGAGGACCTGAGAGGCGTACCTTTGCTGCGTATCTGAGGAGCGTTGACTACAGAACAGGTGAGGGCTGAGTTAAGGTTTCACAACGGCAATTAATTGATTGTATACTGTTACATTATTTGATTCACAACTTCAATAAAAATGGACTTTTCTCTTTGAATAAAATTGGGAAATTATAAACTGTTATTATGAAAGCAGTATACAAACTAATGGCAGATTCCTTGTACCAGTGCATTAATCTTCAAGGGGTATCAAGTTATCACTTGCATTATTGTGACTTGGTTCTACCTTCCTCAATCTACCAAATCCTCCAAAACTTCTGCTGGAATTGGAAGGATTTGGGAGGAATGGATTTGGCTGATTATTGTCATTTGATAAAACCTGCTGTTGAAGTTTGAGTTCAGTGATCTCAGGAATGCTTTATACTGTTAAAAGGATGTGGTGTGTGGTAATAAACCACCACAGTGATTTCCCCGAACATGCTTTTGAATGACAACAATAGCTCATTTTTTCTTTCATTCATTCATTTATTTCCTGAAGAACAGGAAACAAGGGAAAATCTAGACCTAGAAAATTTTTGTACTCTGAATAAAGTCCATAGGATCAAAACACACTACCCAGGAAAAAAAATCCAAAAATAACTACATACATGTACAATATTAATGTTTGCCCTTGCAGAGAGTGCACTGGAAAACTGATAGAAAAAAAACTAAAACAGCACATCTTTTAAAGGACATCTGAGAAACCAGACATAGTGACAGTAAAAAAAAAGATTCAAGTACCTTTGATGATGCATGTTCTTGCCAGTTGTTTTTTGTCGAACGATGAAACACGACAGGGTTACAATCAAGCCAATTATTTGCAGAGAAGTGGAGTAACTTGAGACAAAATGTCACTGTGCATATAGTGCGTCTGATCACGTCACAAGTCGATACATTTTACTGGCAAGCCAAGAGCACCTGATATATTCTTGGTGGCCATCAACAGTAGGGGACCAAATTGCAGAACGTGATGTTTCCTGGGTGTTCCTGGGGCTGGCGGTTTCAGAAACATTTCTTTCCAGACCCAGACAGATGATGTTGTTTTTACCGGATGAGCCAGCTGGCACCAACGTCAAACAAATAGCATCCAATTTCCTTGGAGGTTTAGAAGTTCAGCACTTTCTGATTGACTGCAGATCAGAGAGGGCAAATGTGATTTGAACAAGTGTTAAAAAACATTTCCGTGAAGGGAGGATTAGGAGAAACGACATTGTTTACCGTAGAGATACACAAACTGGTTGGATCTTCAGCTGGGTTCATCGAACCTCTCCAAAATTTTGCATGTCTAATTTTGAAAACTATCTTGTGGGGTTTACAACTGGTGGTTGATACCTCCACAGCAGTAATGTAGCATGAAAAACTTTCAGGTCAACTAAAAGTTTGCTTTTTTTTTTTTCAGATGTACTGGTACGTGCACAGCACATCTGTGCATTAAGCTTTTACTCTTACACTTCAAATTTGGAAATTCAATTTTCTTACGTTCAAAATTCAGGCTTGCATGTAAGATGCTTAAGAAAACCTGTTGGTTACAGCAAAACACACACCAAAACAAGTTACTGTACATTTTACAACTCACACGGGTGAGGGCACGCTGTTTGCACTGCATTCCTACTCGCTGTAGCAACTTGAAAATCTCTTGTGTCAATTTGTCAGTTAAAGCTGTCAGCAATTTTTTTTTTTTACTTGAAATTGTCCAAAATGTGTGTTGTTTTGTTCCCTTGGGCAGAGCAAATTTCCCTAGGGCATAATATTTTGGCTCTTTTAAAGTCTCTGGCCTTAAATGATGATTAAAGTGCATTGTGTGAAATAGCAGATTTCAATTTGTCAGGCTTCCGGCAAGCAGTGAAGTGTGGGGAGATAGATTGAAAAATAAAGTACAATGAATGACTTCTTCAGGTTGCTATAAAAAGTGGGTTTGGAACTGTTTTAATTCAGAGAAATCTTTGATGGATTACTGTGCGTGCATTGCAAGAGTTCACCTGAAGGTTAGACATTTGCTGAGCAGTTAAGGGGACACGTACATTGCTTGGAGGGGCAAACAAAGTCTGCCTTGTCGGTTTCCAGCCTCAAGCCTGCCTCGTTATTACCAAGAGCAGGCTACCGAGGGGAATTGCGTGCTGGTGGCAATTGCCTCTCGTCATTTATCCCGTTAATTGGGATTCTCAGCTGGTCTCAGCCTCCATTTCCCCCAAGCTCCCGACCTTCTGACAGTGACACCTCAAGTATGATGAAGAAGCCCAAATATATTGCCATCAAAATACCTTCCAGTGGAGTTTTATTACACGTTGTGGCTACTGCCTGGCCGTATTTGATGATCTGTGGAAGCAGGCATTGTTTATCCAAGATAAAGATCAGCTATACTTATTACTACCTCCCTCAAAAAAGGAGGAAGAAGGGTGATTAATATCTGGATATTGAGCAACAAAATCCACAAAAACCGTGTTAAGAATCACAGCAAGTTTTGCTGCTAGTGTGAGGCATCTAACATTATTCTCCAGAAGACTTTATTTATGTGTGCTGGTATGTAATTGAATATGTCCATGTTTTGAGAGTTGCAGCACAGCATTGTTCAGTTCCTTGTTATTGTCCTGTTGGTTGGACACTTTCAAACGTATGAAGTGTTCTTTCACCTGGCAGCTTTTTCGTAGGATTTCTCTTTTCTTTTTAAGCATGAGAACATTTCTGTAGCCCCACAAGGGTTTTTTTTTGCATCACGTGAAAGGGCTTGAGTCTGTCAAAGGGTAGCCCTGGGAATCACCCTGGGCGTTAGTCCAGAAGCTCAGTTTGCAGTTTTGAAGAGGGGCTGCTGTAGCTTGGCTCACAGAAGAAGTTTTTGCTTTGTGAAATTGTAGAGCAAGATGTAAACCCTGCTTTTTTTTCTGTCGTACAATAAAATCAAAGCAATCTTTGGATGGGTACCAGTATTTAGGAATGTTCAGTGTTGCTTTTTTCCCCCAAAACATGTTCTACTCCCAACGTTGAATGCTCAATTCAGCTCCAGGAGCCATTATTATGAAGCAACAGAAATTGTACACCTGTCTGAAATTGATACCCGAAGGTGGTGGCTTATGAATTGTAATGGTTTGCCCAATTTCACCTGTTTGTGAAGACAGGAGAGGTGCTGGAAACTCATTTCAGTTTTGCAGTCAATTTCCAACAGCTGTTTATCAAACTGTAGTCGGTGCCTTTGTTGTCCTTTTTTGCTCCTGTGAATGAAGAAAGGCCTCTGAAATCTGAGCTTCATAAAAATCCCAGCCAAGCTGGATTAGTTTTCACAGACTTGTGCTGATCTTCTTTCTCACCAAAATTAAGAAGTTGGCGTCTTTCTCGGAGCACTGCCCCCTTGCAGGAGAGGCTGTGTTTATTTGCAGAACCTTGGTAGTGCACGGGTAACACTCCAGGACTGGGCGATCAGGGTAGATGGGGGTTAGAGGGGGTTGTTTTGCTTCCATCTTGCCAGCCCCAGATCTGTCGGGAGGTGAGGATTGAGGACTTGGCTGATTGTTTTCCTTAGACTGTTCAGGTCTGCTTGATCGGGGCTTTGTAAATACTGCCTGGATTGCCTGCATGGATGGGTGTGCTTGCGCTGTGATGTGTTGCTGGGTGGTTGCGTGGGTGTGTATGGAGGCACTGGAGGTGGAGAGGATGGGGGGGGACATTGTAACGAAGGAAGAAAATGTTGGACAGAATTAGAATCAGGGCTTTAAAAGTCCCTCAAACATTGGAGTTATGAGGGAATGCTCAGCTGTTTTTGTCGTTGGTGCCGAACATTTGTCAAATACGTAGTATTTTGTAGTATGTTGAAGATAAAGTTCGGCACATTTCTATGCTAGTTCCATGACACTTGGACACACCGGTATTTGTACATGTACCTTTTGTCTCATGTTGTAAAATTGAAAATTGTTCATGTAGGCCGTTCTCAGGAATTAAGGATTCATTCATGGACCCTAGTGTAAATAGTATATTAGTAATGACCACAAATCCTTTATGAAGATTGATTCAAACTTGCACATGTCGTTATCATCGATTATGTTGTCTAGAAGTAGTCCTCTGGTCAAAGATGCCTCAGATACATGCACATCGCTATTGCTGTTGATCTGACATAAGACATACATTGAGGAATAACCTCTACAAAGTTTCAACACGTACCGTACAAAGTAGTTCATTCAACAAGGAGCCGTTACAGTGCATGACTATTACTTATTTACAAGTACATGTACTACTTCTTTTTTCTCAGGGTATTTTGGTAAATACTTAAACAATTACAACGGTACTTACGTGCCACCTGGCTGGACAGAGTGGGTTGGACTGTTGCAGAATTCCAAGTACTACAACTACACCCTAAGTCGCAATGGACAGCTGTATGATCATGGATTCAATTATTACAGGTCGGTGTAGTGTCGAAGTAACACTGAGTATCCAACATAATCAACACTTCAGTTTTTGTAGCCTCTAAGAGTAGCACATGAATTTCTTGCAGTTGGGTTTTGATGGGTTTTGACTGCTTGGATGAGTGATTGGAGACTGTACTGTCTAAAAGTGGTGCTTTCAGGTACAAGACCAAGATGCTATTTCTTGATGAATGTAGAATTGGGTTTTACCCTGCTAGGGCAAGTTTGTGTGTGGCTTGGGCTTTGTGTCATTGCAAGGCCACTGCCATAAGCTGTAGCCTTAAACAGAAGAACCTGAATCCAATAAGACTAAGGGCTTGACTTGAGCCCAGAACCTCAGAATTGTAAAATTGTATTTGTATTCATTCTGTTGGCTGTCTTTCTTTATCAGGGACTATCTGCCTGACCTGATAGCCAATGACAGCCTGGCATTCTTTAAGATGTCCAAGAGGACGTATCCAGACAACCCTATCGCCATGGTATTGTCCTTCCCATCACCCCATGGGCCAGAGGATGGAGCACCACAGTATCAGGGGCTGTTTGAGGGGAACCGTCTTCACAGGTAAACACTGGTCTGTCCGCTGACCATCAACCAGTGGATTTTTGTCTGATGCCCATCCCATGAGTGTTGTGTAGACTTATGACCTCTGATCTGACCCAGGCAACCACACAGGTGCACCCTTGGCTTGTGGACTTATTTTTCTGTGTGACCCATCATTGGTCCCAATTGAGTGATGTTGTAACCAAACTGGACCGGCCAGAATTTAAGAAACAATGTGCAAATATTTCCTGAAAACTTCAGATCAGATAAAGTAACCTTGAATCTCTTGACAATGATTTGTGTAATCTCTAAATGAGGAAAAGGTGTCCAAAATAGTCATACCAGTACCTTACTTTAAAGATGACTTCTTCTTGTGTGCGTTTGATTTAGCAGTCACGTACATGTATATATATACCAGCATTCAAGCTCCATAGCTCACTGAGGATTACCGTTTGCTTGTCCATGATGTATTGTGATTGATATCGGTAGCAACCATTTATGTCAGGCTTGTTCCTTGACAAAATGACTTCCTTGTAAATGTTAGTGGAGACCTCACGAGGTGTGGACAGATTTATCGGGGCTGCCTTGCCAGACACTTTTCACCTCTTGATGACATTCCACCTTTGCAATTAAATTTGTTTGACAGGCTGTGGAAGTCTAGTCTTTGTCTCTCCTTATTTTTACTCTGTGGTGGTGAAAACAAAATTGTTGACATTCTTGAGTTTTTTGATTGATGTTGCTATTGAAAGGTTTTGGAAGATCCCGTTTAACTATGCTGTACATGTCACCTGTGAAGACTTCAGATTAGGTTCTCCAGAGATTTATCTTTTGTTTCACTCTCAAATGGAGTACAATTTCATTGTTAGACCCCAATAAATTTTCTACCGGACAGTCTAGAGTACCTGCTGCATGGAGGGTTACCATTTTCTTTGGAAAAAAATAGTATGGGGTCAAGATGGTGCTTGTTCAGTACTGCTTGATTGTCCCGCCAAAAAAAGTGTTGCCATCTTCTCAAAGTATATATTGCCATGGCAAAAAAATACATGTACGGTATGTTCTAGTCTTTATAAATTGAAAAATAATGTAGGCCACAGCTTTGTAAAAGATTGGAATCGCTTATACTTAAAGTACAACTGATTGCCAAGTGTTTTTAATGTTGCTGTTAATTTGTGCAGACCGTTAATGAGCTGAGTGATACTCTTTCCCCAAGAAACATGCACATGTAATTTATTACAGGGACTGGTTACAGGGATTGGAAAGTGTAGAGATGTAATGGAATCCAGGCTAGACAGGTGAATGAGAGCGCTTGGCCATGGTCACATTCAAACCCTGCCAAGAGTCTGTAATCCAGACTGGTCTTAATGACATTCAGAACATTTCACATTGTCAAGCTCCATTGGGAAGTAAGGCTTTCAGGGTGTGGGTAGATTCCCTGGAGGAGAAAAAAAGGGCTTGGAATGTCAAACATTAGTTAGGTTTGCAATTGAGATGTTCATGTATGTCTGTGTGCTACTGGTACCTCAAAATGCATGCAGTATAGACCAGTCTGGCAACCACAAGAACAGAGTTGGAATTATACATGTACATGTACATGTAACTCAAGTTGCCAGACTGTTGGCTGTGTGCGTGAATGAAAGAGTATGCTTCATCACCTGGTAACCACCAATAAGCCATTTGCTAGTTAAATTGAAGACTAAAGACACTGTTGCTATACCTTGTGATTCAGGGCAAACTTTTGCATAGCGACCACCATCTCTGGAATGGACTGGTTCCTTTGTGCCCACCTTATCCATTGAGAACAGTGTACTGTTTCCAAGGCATCTCTTATGTAACTAAGCAAAAGCTTGCTCCGAATCACGATGTATACCATAGCAACTATGGTTTTAGTAAGGAGAATTCAAGTTGTTATGTTCACGTGAATTTAAAGAACTCAGTGTACCAGATTTGGGTCAAAGTTAACTCGCAAAAGGCTTATTACTTGGGGCCAATTTGTTTGTGTGCTTACGGCATAGAGCATATTAGATATTAGCCTTTTACAACTGGGTTATATTTGACTATTTCTTAAAAAATCATTGGGTTTGAGAATCTTACAGAGTTTAATGTCTCTCAAACAGTAAGATTCCATGGGTTGAAAGTTAGCTGATCCCGCTATGTGCTACACCAAGCCAATCACTGTAAGCTTCATCAGAAGCAACCACAATTCTCCTAGGATTTGTAAAGGGATAGCATGGCAAAGAGCTTTGCCCAAGGGGATAAAGGCTTCCAAACTACCCTGCCCCAGCATCATATTCAAGATCTTCAAGGGCTGGTTTTTAGCATTTTGTCTACCACTTCAATCCTTTGGTATTTACACTCAGTGACTCATCCTTGTACCACAATGCTGCTGCAACACCCTCTAAGGTAAACAACTCCCTGTCCATTGCCCACTGAGCAGGGCTTATTGTTTGTGCTGTAGCAGAAATATGCTGAGAAATTGACCCAGATTTCGCCCCTTTTTTTTCTAATGCTATCGGGTATTGTGAATATGTACTGATGAGAGAGATGTAGCAGAGGACAGTCTGTGAGTCACGCTGGCTCCTGTTTCCAGCGAAACTTGGAGTTTGGGTTTCCCCTGAAATGGATTCAAATTTCAGTTACCTCTGGGCCGGGCAAGATTTCATATCCGGTGTGGTCTGTCATCAGCCTGGCCTGTTTCTGCCATAATTATGACTCAATATTATTTTTATTTTTTTTTTTCTGACTCTCAGTGAGATCAACTTTCCAACAGACAGCTCCCTGCTGTTCTGAGGTTTTTTGTCACTCAGCCTCTAAAAATATCGGTCACAGTAAGTGAAAATTTTTGGCAGAGCTGGGCACCAGTCAGTTCTTGTGGTATGCAAATTGCAGCAGACCAGTGAAAAAAAGGGCCAAGATGTCTGTCTTACTTGTCTCAGCAGGCTGACTATTAGTGAAGATAAAACACTCACATAAACCACCAAGCAGAATAAGAACCAAACCAAATTGATCTAAAAATATTAGCCATTGAAAACTCAAACTGTTTTTGAATAAAAGTACAGATGTATTGCTTACTCTAGATGCTAAACATTTCTTAAGGAGGAAATATCCTAAAAATATCATTTTATGCTAAAAACAGGAGGCTTCAGTCCTAAAAGTGCATCATGCAGACCCTCTCAAGGTAATCAAGCTTAAGGTGAAACCACAGAGTAAGCTGAAGTTGATTCCTGACAAGAATTTACATAGCAAACCTACATGTACCTGTAGAGTTATGTTTCCTCCCTCGGCACATGCAATGCACTTGCCTTTTTTATTAAGGCCTGTGATTATGTGGAGCACTTTTAGTGAACATTTCTAGTTCATGCTTTGCAGATACACTTACCGGGTACGTGAAAACAACTTTTTAATGACTATTTGAGCTTTACAGGGAGGAGTTGGAACTCCATTTATACACAACCTTATTGCAGCTGAATATCATTTCATACATTGAAATGGGTCCAACTTGTACACATGTACTTGTACACTGGTAGTTTAGGCTAGGTACGGTACATTTCAAGGGTGCATCATTTTCAGTCCTGTTTTATTGAGGAATTGAAATGAGGGATTTATACAAGCACTTCCTTTTTTAATCCCATTTCTGACACTACATGTATATTTTGATGCCAGCTTCACTGCTCCAAATTATATTTACTGAACTGCCTTTTTAATAGCTTATATGATATCAGAAGAACAGTGGCCTTGTAATGCCACTGGATCATCTTCATAACACTTTAATCTGTTGCTTTTAGCATAGATTTATCAGCATAATTTGTGTTTTTAGTGTCTTTGTGCTCTCTCCTTCTAATATCTCCCAAACGCCTACTCCCAAATCGCTTCATTAGTTGTCTGCCTCCATTTTTTTCTGATGTGTAGGACAGAGACATGGAATTATAGCAACAATAATGACAAACACTGGCTCCTGCGTTACCCTGATCCCCTGACGGAACAGGAGATGGCATTCACGGATCTTCTTCAACGCAAGCGACTCATCACATTGGTGTCCGTGGATGATGCCATTGCAAAGGTTTGTTATGCAGCACTTTTCATAGTCCTAAACACTGCCTGATTATTTCAATCAGACTTAATAGGGTCACACAGCAGTCAGCATACTGGTATTCCTTTGACCCCCGGTGAGAGGTCAGCTCAGGTTAACCTGGTTGACAAGTAAGAGAAGATTGAAGCCAGTTTATTCTAATTAGTAATTGGGAATCACACCTATCTATTAGGCTAATGGTGAACTTAAGAGTGAAACTCTTGGTATGTGGGGGTTCTTAAATTTGTCAGGCAGAAAACTTTCCTTGATACATTACATGTAGATCTGGTTGCCTGTTTTAAGTATAGCCACTCCATGAGGTGGCAGTACGTGCTAAGGCCCTATTTGAAACAGGCTTTCAGGGCTACGTGTAGCTTCAGACACGTTTATCTTCTTTCTCTCTCTTTGTCCAGCTTTGCACAGAGCTAAGCGAGATGGGTGAATTGGACAACACGTACATCATCTTCACCTCGGATCACGGCTACCACCTGGGCCAGTATGCCCTTCCCAAGGGCAAATCACTACCCTACGACTTTGATCTCCGTGTTCCCTTCTACATAAGGGGTCCAAGGATCCCTCGCGGTGTCGAGTAAGACCCTTGATACTCAAAAACACTTTTAAAAACCCGTAACCTCCAGTGCTTGAGGGGTCAATTGAGCAGAGTTGCTAAGCGTAAAAGTGTGCTAGGCATAGAAGAATATTGGCTTAGAAGAAAAGTTTACCAGTCAAAAGTCGCAGTGAGTAAAAGGTGCTCTGCTAGTTTTTGCTTACGAAGTAAGTTTCCTGGGCAAGATTTTCAGCTGAGTGGCTCTGTGAAATTCAGTTCTGGCTCTGGTAGGATTTTGTTTAGTTCAAGACTAAAGAACCCAGCCACCTTCTTATATGTTGACTGATACCTCAGTTCATTTTAAGCATACTCCAGCTGCTGGATGTTGAAAACTTCAGAAGATCATTTAAAGAGATGGCTCAGATTTTTTTTCGGATAATTCTTAAAAACCGATATTTTCCAGCGTGTGTTCCATAAACAGCACTTGCATTCTTCAATGCGTATAAATTGTGCCTTGACCCCCCCAGGTTTTGCTTATTTCTCCCTGCTTTGGCGAATGTAGAGTTCCGAACATCGTGTTGAACATTGACCTAGCACCAACCATGCTGGACATGGCGGGGTTGAACATCCCTCCAAACATGGATGGGGTGTCACTGCTGAAGCTTTTTAATCCGGCTGAGTAAGTTGAAGCATTTATAGTTCTCAATTATCAATGTCCATTCACGGCAGTTGTTAAGAACTATTCTCAGGTTGTGCCTAATATAAGTTTGTGTCTGTTTCTCCATCAATTATTCAAATCCGTTGTCATTAATGCAGAATTTGAAGATGTTTTTGTTGGATCCAATCATGACTTTTCTTAGCTAACCAGAGAATTCCCTTTCCTTGTGATGCGATACCTGAATTTCTCTCTCCTGCAAAACAACACAGCTACCGGATAAAAGGCAGAAGCAGAAACCGGAGATTGCGCTACGTTGGAGTTGACCCCTGGCGAACCAGTTTCCTAGTTGAGAAAACGTAAGTCCAACCCCTTGATCTTTTGGCAGACTGCCTTGGTCTGTGTTTTGGTCTGTGCTTTCTTGGACTGACTTCAACTGTTAGTTAGGGCTTTTTGCCATTGAGTAATGATTTCTTACATGTCAACATAATCATAACCTTCTGTAGCCTTTTAATCAGGTTACCAAGTACCAGTATATTTCACAAAATCCTGACTTTGTCCCTGGTATTGCTCTGTCGTTGGTTTCAAAGTCAGTTGTAAACCACTTATGGGAATGAAAGGATAACAGTGCAGAGTTAAGCTGAACATCAGACAGTTGGAATATAAAGCAGAAAAAGTTCTGCATTCAGTTAGAGGTTTTCAAATCGGTGAACTAACTCAGGAGACTGAATTTACACCAAAGCCAAACTTGAGAAAAGGTACAAGTGCCATACACTCACATGCCAGGCTATGTAACACCTTAGGTCGTTTTCCCTAAAATTGTTTTTTGTCTTTGTCACACAGACGTTCCCCGGAAGACTTGGCACGTTTGCAGAAAAGGCAGTTTCAGGCACGTGGGAGGAAGGGGGACCGACTACGGCAACAGTGCAAGGAACCAGAGTTCCAGTCACCATGCAAACCATTCCAGGTGAGGTTGCCATGGTACCAACCAATCAAATTTCTTATACACCCCTCTGCAAAAACTTGAGAGGGTTGGAAAAGAATGGAAAGCAAACAGCAGGTAACTTGAGGTTTACCTCAGGGCTTCACAGGGGTTTCATTTTACATTCTTCCCTTACAAAAAAGAGCATAGTTCATTTGGGGAAAGTTTTGCCCAAATCACAGTCTCTATGATATCAATAAGACCCTGCATAACCAAAATCAGGTCCGTAGCTTTACTAGAGTGTTAATATCATCCGTAAGTTCTTTTTCATATGGGCATGTAGGATAAAGAATGCGTACTGGATGAAGTCACCGGTGAGGTCAAGATTCGTAAGTGTCGGCGTCCGCCTAAGATTCGCTGTCGTTGCATGCGGGTGATTCCAAGTAGCCCCAACGAGGAAGGCCTCGCCAACGGCAGACGGTTCCGACTTAGGGATAGGCCCCCAGTCAGTGACGCGGCGCTGACCAGAGAGGAAAAGAGACAACAGAGGGACTTCATCCAGGAACACGTCAAGGAAGGTAAAAGTGTGTCACAGTGCTGGTGATTTGGAAATTTCAGATGAGGGTCGTAGTCCACTTGCGGAAGAATGCAAAATGACAGATGAGATAACTTAAGGTATACCTTGAGTTTTTTATGAAACTCACAACGAGTTTGTGGGGTAACACATAGACTCAGATTATTAGTATTAATCATTTCTGGCAATAACACTAAGGATTCCTCAAAAGCGCCCTAGGCACTGTACTCACAAGCCTGAAGAAACCTGTAGAGAGGAGACAATGAGAAGCAGTTACAGTTTTAGAGGTGGGAGAGAAACTCAGGAGGAATATTCTGGGTAAAATCCACAGAATCAGGTAGGGACTGAAAACCCAATCCATATGTGGACCAGGCCAGGAATCGAACCTGGATCTGCAGATGTGGAAGGCGAGGAAAGAACCACTTCGCCAACCTGACTTCCCCAGATGATATTGTGGCTGCAAGACTCATTTAAGTTTATGATGACTGTATTATTTTTTGGGCAGCCAACCCTCCATTCCGGTTCATTCGGAACAGACGTGACCATACACCCAAGGAAGATCCAGCCGTGTTTACTTTGGACAATCTGGACGAACCAGACGAGGAGAATATCTTGATTGATCCAAAGTGTGAAGTGTACAAGAATGACACAGTCATGTGTGATAATGAGGTATGTCTTGTCTTGTCTTCTGCTTAGTCTAAGGAAGTGGTCATAATCTAATGAGATAGGTCTTATCCTTTCCCAGTCATGTTATGTATGGGTTTAACCTACCAGTCGTGGTCCTAGGTATGGCCCTGGTCTGTTGAGGTATGGTGCAATCCATTTGGGACATGGTTTTACATGTTATGGTCTTATCTTAATATGGTATGATCTTAACCTGTTGAGTTTATGGTGTTATCCAGTTGAGGTATGGTCTTTTCCCAATAAGGCACAGTCTTACAGTTTGTCCTATGGAGTAACAGCTTTGCTATACTAAGGTATGGTTATTTCCTTTATGAGGTATGGTCTTGTCCTGTTGAGGTATGGTCTTTTCCCAATGAGGCTCCATCTTACAGCTTATCCTATGGAGTAACACATTTGTTATGCTAAGATATGGTTGTTTCCTTTATGAGGTATGGTCTTGTCCTGTTGAGGTATGGTCTTTTCCCAATGAGGCTCCATCTTACAGCTTGTCCTATGGAGCAATAGCCCTATTATGCTAAGGTAGTGTTTCCTTTATAGATTTCCTGTTCAGATTTGGTTACCCGAAGGAGATGTTGTCTTGCTTTTCTTTCTTCAGATTTTTGAATCCCGCAAGGCCTGGGTTAACCACCGCAAGCTGATCGCAGCCCGTGTCCGTCTCCTCCGCAAGCACCTCAACGACTTGATTGAGATCAAGGAATTCCTGAAAGACACCAACCCATATTACCCAGAGAAGCCCAGGGTCGAATTGCCCCTCCCGGCAAGGCTGGACAGCAGACGGGAGAAGCCGGCAAAGGTCTGCCGGTGTGACAACATCGAAGGGGAGCTGTCAGAGAAAGCCGCCAGAGAGCTGGAGAGACTAGGGGATGTCTATGTTGAGAACAGAGGGTATGTAAAAATGTCAGCACCAGGTTAGGGTTGATATGAGTACCTAGCTGTCTGCTTCCTGATTGAAAATGGTGGATTTCAGGTTCCATTTCATGGTCTTATTACTCTTAATTTTACTCATATTTTAACACAACTTTGTTCCTAAAACCTTCTAATTGAGCAGTTTTAGACAAAGATTACCTTGAAAAAGGTTGTATCAAAGTAACACAAAGTAACTTTGAGTCTAGTTGTTGACAAATTCCTGTGATGAGGTTGGATTTTGTGGTATTTTCTTGTGATAAAGTAAAGTAAGGCCATGAGTAGGAAATTTCAACATTTCATGGCAGAAATGCTATGCTTGTTTGGGGGGAATTTGTAGAAGATATTTGGATTCTGAAACAGTTGAATAGTTCCACACTCTTAGAAACAATTACTCGTCTTCTAAACATCCAAATATAACAGCCAGCAGCTTTGAACTCACTGACACAGCTGCTTCCATGTGGGATTGCATTTATGTTCTTACCAGGGACTATGAAATCAGTGAAGGTCCCACTGCATCCCGTTACACAAGGAGTACCTCGGCCACTGAAAGGACGACAGAACAGAACAGCGTCCTGGACATGAACACCGACGGCTTATCTCGGCGACAGCGGAAGATCCAATCCAAGCAGATGTGCAGTGTTCAGGGCATGAAGTGTACCTCGCACGACAACGATCACTGGCGGGTGCCGCCATATTGGACATGTGAGTCACGCCGAGGCAGGGCCTCAAATCAGGAACTTGAAAATCTGGCTTCAGCTCAATAATTCCGTGGTCATCTGTTACTGGTAGACCTGATCCAGTAAAACCTGCAAAGCCTTACCCTATCCTAAAACCTGTTTTTTTTTCCCTTTTGAGGATCAGTTCAAGAAACTTTTCATCTGTCTTCCCTTTCTCTCAACAGTGGGTCACATGTGCCTGTGTTTGAACGCAGTCAACAATACGTATCAGTGTCTACGCTATCTCAATGAAACTCATAACTTCCTTTATTGTGAATATGTCACCAATTTCCTGGAATACTTTGACATGAGGCCTGGCCATGATCCATACCAGGTATGTGTTAAGAAAAATGTAATTTACGCAATTTGCTTTTATGTACTGTGGTCACAAAGTTACATCCTATATGGTCCTAATATGTGGAAACTCATAAAAAATTACAATTTTGGTTTTCTAAATATTCAGTTTTCAATAGATCCGACTTTGTTGCTGTCCCTAGCTTTATTCAGTTTTGATTCTGTGGAATGTTGTAAGAAACCAAAGGTTGTGAGATTTCTGAGCTTTTAAACAACAGTGCAGCAACAAATTTTAAATTTTGATGTTTGTGGAGTATTTTGTCTCAGACACTGATTTCTTCCAAATTACCCGAGACAAAAGTATGAATACATGAATGTGTTTCTTTATCTTTTGCCTCAACAACAGAAAGTTAATGCCATCAATGACATCACAGACAACTACCGAAGGTTTATGAGAGACGAGCTTGAAAATTACAGACATTGCAGTGGGGCTAGCAATTGTACAGCACTGTACCCGACACCAAACCATCATGGGAAAACAGGTATTGTTGGTGACTTATACCCTCCTGAATAAACTCTTGTAGTGCCAGTAATGAGCCCTTTGAGTAGAGAAGATTCGGCAGTGTGTGAAATAAGCTCTGGCCACTATTTGCCTGGTAACCTAGGGATAAAAGATGTTGTGGGTGCCCCGTAAAGTCACGACAATTTGTAGCCACAGGTTGACTTTTGCTAGGTAGCTACATGCATAAAAGATTTTCTGGGTACCAGGAAAAAGCAGCCAGTGGTTGACAAATTGGGCTCCAAGTTATGCTGTTGCTAGGCAACAGAGTGCCCTTTGTTGGTCAAGCACTCAGCCTTCATGGCTACCTAGTACACTGTCTATGCTTCCAGAAAAAAGCCCAGCCATCGCGTTGCTACCTCCAAGGTCACGAGTGACTGAGAAAAGATGTCAAAGTTGCCAGTATAGAAATCCCACCCCCACACACACCTAGATGGCTTGTCATGTATTGACTGAATACCTTTGGCAAGGTCGAGCAGTAGGCAAAAAGAAAATGTCAGGAAGAACGGACTTTGTTGAAATGTCAACATATATCTCTGCTCTTTTGCACAGTGAAAGAGATGTGATAATGAATGTTTTTTCCTTTGTGGAAATGAAGAGATAATACCTTTTTTGTTGAAAAGCATTGTTTGTGATGGTGACATTTGCAAAATATAAGTTTTCCAATTAAGTTTTGTTGCACAAGTCGAAGTGAAATTGTACATCCCCTTTAACTTTTGACCATTCAGTTTAAAAGAGTAGCCTCATGAACATGTATTATTTTTGATTTTGAGATGAAGATTTCCTCCAGTTTTCTGTCAAGGAGAATGGACGAGGAACTGTAGATTTGTGCTAAGAATGGACGAAGCAAAGCTTAGCCCATTGTTGCACGAATCTACAGTTCCGAGTCTGTTCTCTGACTTAAACTATTTCCCATTGTTACACGAACATAGAGTCCTGAGTCTATGACGCTCTTGCTGCTACCGTACGCCTGAGTGCACCTTTGTTCCATTCATTAACATGCACGCGTGTTTGGGCTACATGAAACATCAACAGTATTTGTGTAGTCAACACCGTCAGTGCTGGATACATACTCGCATCTCTTCCTCTTGCGTCTTGGAGTCATTATTACACGTGTGCCATTGCAGCCAAACCTATCGGTCTAACCACCACAGGACTCTATGAAATTGAGGACTGCTATATCAACTTCCTGAGAGTATTTGTGCAGTCGACACTCAGTGCTGGATATATACCTGTATTCTCTTCACCTTGCGCCTTGGATTCATTATTATACGGGTGTCATTGCAGCCAAACCTTCCGGACTAAAACTACCACAGGACTGTATGAAAAATTGAGGAATGCTACATGTATATCAACCTCGTGAAAGTATGGCTAGCGCTTTTAGAACCACTTTACGAACCACTCAAAATGAGCTTCACTGATACTAATACATGTTCTTATATATGAATCATTCCGAAATATCCCCTCACTACAGGTTGCTATTTCACTTGGAGAATGAGCAACTTTGGATTCCAATTATGATGTGAATTTTGGAGTTAATAATAACATTTAAGAATTTCTACAAAGTGCACATTTCCACCTAAAATTGTTCATAGCACTACAAATATTAGTGATACAAGAAAATTTACGGGCTTACTCTTCAAGCAAGATTATATATATGTGCTCGGGGAGCAGCAATATTGACAGATCTGTCACCTCAGGACCGCTATGATCTTGGAACAACTAGAAGATGTACCCAAGTTTGTGTCATTTCAATTACGCTATAATCCAGTATTTTGATAAAAGAGTGGGCAAAACCTAGACAAGCAGCCCAAACACATCAAATTAATTCCTTATTGAAAGGTGAAGAGGAAATTCAAATCATTGTTGAAAATTTTGCTGTACAAAGCATTGATCTTGAAAACGCGAGGGATAACAACCTTTGTCATTTTCTATGGCAAAAGGCAAACGTACACAATAAGGCCAGAGCGTGGGCGTTCCCGGTATCTCTTAAATTTGTTAACTGTGGCTATTACGAGGCCCAATTGAAATCAGCGTCATGGCAGCACTGCGTTAGTTACTTACCCAACCCGGTCCTTTGGTCACACTTTGATGATCGAAACAAGGGGAGGGGTGGACTTCAGGATACCCTCCTCGTGGATACAAATCTACTACAGCTGTAGATTCATAATGAATCGACAGTAATTGTTTTGTAACAATAACTGTAGATACTTAACTTACGAATCTACAGTTTGCCGTAGGTTTGTAAATATAATCTACCCTTTGAACAAAGTAGTGGCGTCACAGGATTACATGTAGTTTTAATGGGAATAAACCTTAACTTTGAAGCTCTTCAGTGCAGCATCAGGGAGTGGCTTGCATAAACATGTTAAAAAAAAGCAACTAAATTCTACAGAAATCAAGTAAAGAATGTCAAAGAACAGGGTGTCTGTAACTTGGTTTTGTTCTGGTACTTCATTGCCTTGCGTGTGTTGTGTCTAATACTTCTGTTGATTGTGTGCATTTGTTTGCATGATTATCTGACTCAAGCCAAGAATGATTTTTCTGTTTCTCATTTTTCTTGACAGCATTCACTCGCACATGATTTTAGGCCATTTTGATGTCACACAATAAAAGAATTGCATCGTAAGTTGTTACCATCATGTGACCATACCAAGCTCAGGGATTGGCCGGAACTGTAGAGAAACAAAATGATCAGGATTTGTTGCTTTTGGAAGCTGAAAGAAAGTACTATAAAATCTCATTCGTGTTGGCAAAATTCAAGACTTTTCCCAGAAAAATGTTGGTTTTCTTCATTGCAGCTGCTGCGTTTAAAAATGAATTTGAGTCTTTAACAATGAAGGGATCTCTCTCAGTCAAGTGGCTAGAAAGCACTTAGTCTCTGGTGTTAACCTGACCAATCAGAGCTGTGCTTACTCAGAAAGTGCTAGTCAGCATATATCAAAGTGACAAGAATTTTTATTGGCCAATATTCTGATAAAAACTACCATTGACTGCTTCGTTCAATTCTCTTTGAAATGGGGAGCACATTTGATAGTGCAATACGTACAACGGTATTCACATTCCTCGTACATCCTGATTGTCGACAGTACACATACATGTATGTATGCATAGTATTGTGTTATTGAAGATGCTTCTACTGCACAGCAGTAACCACAATAAATATCCGCACAACCAAGCAAAGATAAAAATTAATCGCAGTTGCCAATCCCTGGGTTTGAGTACTTCTAGGCTCCAGAAATTGAGCTTGTTTCTATATTCTGTATGTGCCTTAATGTACTAATGTACTCCCTAGTGAAGGGGAGTCTTTCTTAAAGTGTAAATGCATCCAATTAATTTTTAGATTAATGTCCTCACTTTAAAAAATCCTTTCATAGAAGCACAGAAAATATATTAACAAGCTATTTTTGTGGCCTGGACATTTGCATGCATATTAATACACCGTGGTTTGTTGAGTTAGTTACCAGTTTTTCTTTGTCCTTTTTTTCTCCTCGCCTTTTGCTGTTTTCTTAACTTCTCTTCCTACCTTTTTCTTCTTGATGCTTTTGACATGTTCCATTCCACTTTCTGCCTTGTGCTCTCTTCACATTTCTTCCAACACCCTCCAACATGGTCTTCCTCATCCAATTTCTGATGAATATTGATCTCCAATTTTCTAACTTTTCCCATATTTGGCTTTGACCTTTTCTGCATCACCATGGCGATTACTCAAATTTGTCTTTCCTTTCTGTTTTTCCAAACAATACATTCTGCAACCTGTGTTGTTTGACTCGGGGCCATTGTTTTGATTTCTCGACTCGTTTGTGTGTCTGAATGTTGTGGGCATGTTGTAAAATAATCTTCAACACCTTCCGTCACCTCACTGTTTGGCTATTTTCTTCTCAAAATTCCTCCTTTTTCAAATTCACCCCGACTACCAAACCTATCATTTTGTTCCACGTTTTGTTTGTCTGTTTCTCTCATTCCTTTTCCTGCCCCTATCCCACTCCTTGTTTCTTTAGGCTCGGCAGGAAGACAAGATAAAATCCCAAAATCTGAAAGGTACAATTTTATTCAAATAACGACTGTCATGCTGATTGCTTTAAAAGAAAAAATCTTGTTTCTTTTCTGCTTGTTGCTAAGGTTTTGGTGTTTTTGCAGTATGACTGATGCGGTTGCTGTGAATGCTGAAACCTTTTCCAGTTTTTTCCTAGGAAGAAATGTTTCGATGTTTTGCCAGCTCTAATGTTCTTTTCTGCTTTCTGCCTTTGGTTTTCTTATACCATCTTCATTTCTGCCCACTTCCTCCAGTCATCTTGTATTTTTGGTCACATTTTCTGTAATCTTCATTCAATGACAAAGTTTTTCATTTTTTTCCCACCTTCCTATGGTACTTTTTGCCTGCCATGTACACCCACTGACCATCAGGTAGCAGCAGACATAAAGCTGAGCATAAATCAGCTGGGAGCCAGTTTGTCAGTATCACACTGCACAACATTTTAGCTGGTAATCTGGCTTATATGCTGAGCAGCTTTCTAAATACCAGCATCTTTGACCTTTTAGCCCTTCCACTGTAGATTGTATTACTCCATGTAGAGTACATGTATTCATATGGTCTCCTTACTTATAAGGCTCACTGCTTCACCTTTCCTCCCTCCTACACCAGATGGATTTCACATACAACGTAGACTGATTCGCTCTATTATAATTGCTATTATTTAGAAAGTGTGCTGGCTTGTTACTGTGCTTTTTAAGAATGCATTAGAAATGTAGTCACATAGAATTAGCTAACAGCTTCTGTGTTGCAATTAGGATTTGAGTTTTCTCTGCTTGCATCTTGCAGTTGCTCACAGTTTTTTCCCTGTTTGCATGAAATTTGCTTCAAGTTTTGTAGTCGTTTTGCCAAATTTTAGAATTTCAAATGTTTTTAACAAGCTTGATAAGGCTTTCACATTGATTGCTTGTTGCTTCTGGGAAGTTTCCGTGGTAATTTTCATGTAAGTTGTCTTCACTCACCATCTGAGCTACGTTTAGCACTTATGTAGTTATTTCCATTTTGATATTTCTCATGCCAAAAATTAAAGAAACTTGGTGACATCACCATGCACATTTTTATCTGATGTGCCCAGAGAAATTCAGCAACATTTTTGAACCAAAACGAAAGAACATGTATGTACTGTTTATTCCAATTTCCTCAAGATTCTGGGTTTTTTTTGGGGGGGGGGGTCAAAAGTGGTAACAGACAAAAATCCAATTGCAATCGCTCAGAACAGAGCAGATAACTGACATTGCCATTGATCAACCCAAATATTAATTCTTCAAATAGCGGAAGCACAACCTTTGTTTACTGGTAGCCAGAAATGAGGTTAAAAATTAAATTTGCGAAGTCTACTATTTCTGTTTTGTGTCACACAAGTAAAATGAAAGCCAGTTATCTTGGGTATGGTTTTTAAGGCCTGTCGACGTAAACTTTTTGGGAAGTGGAAAGAGGTGTCTGTTGGATAAAATGAACGTCATGAACTCACTTCTGGCTGCTTGTTCCCCCATTTTTGATTGTTGTCACTCATTTTCCAATCTGCTCCACCATTGAGGCATATATCCATTTAACCTTTCACCTCTCTCATTTTTCTCTCAAGCCACCTCTGGAAGAAATTCAACAAGCGAAGAAAATCGCCCCGGCGACACTCCAATTATGTCGGTCGCCACTTCAACCGCGGCAACTTCTGACCTGACAACTAAAGCAGCACCCACTAGCCAACCCCTACACACCACTGTCCCCCCTATGTGGGTGCTCCCTGCCTTGACCTCTGACCCCACTGTTCAGTCAACCTTTGACCCAACCAGTGAAATGGAACAGTTTGAAACTTCCGCTCCTACACTTAACTTACCTGTAACAGCAAGAAAGTCCACAAGTTCTGAAAGACAAACAACTAGCATCTCGCACACCAGCACCCCTCTGAGAACCCATGCGGCTTCTGTCGTATCTACAACTCCAAACTTGGAGAAACTCAAAGAATTTGAAGGATCTGGGAATGAAATTTCTTCAATTAGCACACCTTTAAGTGAAGGTTTGACAGCTATAACAAATACACCTGCAATCATATCAACACCTGACAATTTCTTGTACACAACATCCACAAGTCTACCAACTTCAGAGGGGCAAAACATGAAAGAAGAATTGGAAGGATCTGGGACTGAAATCCCCACAAGCAGGAATCCATCAACCAAAGAAACATTAGTGAGTCCTGAAGTTCTGGAAACTAGTGAGACATACATGCCCACACCTACAAGACGTACATCTTTGGAAACAAATGATCCATCTGCTGTGACTCCATCCATAACAGCCTCTCCTGGGAAGGATCTTAGTCTTGACACAGAAGGATCTGGAAATGAGATTCCAACAGCTCTTGAATTGCTCAGTGAACCAACTGGTGGCCATTCAGAAGTTTCAGCAGCAAGTGTCACATTTGTCACAACCACTCGCATTCCTGTTGTAGATGAGGAGTTCACTGAACCTCCTCAAAACCCGGATGGTGCCGTGTTCACGCTGAACAAGTCTGATCGCCAAAAGGATTCAGGTATTTCAAAATCGCAGTGGACTACAACAGCATTCAGCAAGGAAATCCAGCAAGACAAACCACAGCATTCTGTTGATGAGGCAGTGTTCACTTTAGGGATTACCAGTCACCGTGGCAGCAGCATTCCCTCATCGAATCTCGTCTCTTCAAAGGTCCATCAGTCAGATGATCCCGCAGGAGGACATGAGAATCTGACCACAGAGGACATTGGCACAACTCACAATCAAAAAGACCAGAGCAGGAAAGGCAACAGACCACAGTGGATGACCTCAACTCCAGAATTGGCTTCGTCATCGGAACCTGCACATAAATCTAATGAACCCAGTGAACAGTCATCTGAGTCGATTGATTCCAACCACCTGCTGGAAGCATCTGGCAGCCAAGTGGACTTGGAATACAACCCCCAATTTCCATTCACCACTGTATCCTGGCTGGTTTCCTCGGCATCCCAAATGGAGACTGTGACCAGTTTGAAAATGGACCCTGGAATCTCAACAATAAGTTCTAAAACTGTAGAAGGAACTGATCTGGGAACCAGAGAACCTGATGGTATATCATCACCAGATTACATCAGTGGTTTGTCCCCATTGTCAACACAAACACCGACTGATAATCAGCTCCAACAAGACAAGATGCATCCTACTCAACCCTCTGCAATCACCGTGTCTCCTGATACAACCTCATCATCAGAGGGGTCTGGAGAGTCACATGATGAGACAGACGTAGATTTCATCTCAGTAGTGACGGCAGCCAGTGTGTCAACGTCAACAGCAAGTGAAGGTTCAAGGGTGCAGGCAACACTTCATGATGGCGGTGGAAGCGTCCTGGAATCGGTCCCTAGAGGAACTCGGGTGTCTGATAAGTCAAGGGAGGGCGCTGCAGATGTTGCCCAAGCCACTTCAGCATCAACAGCTGATCAGGGTGCATCTTGGCCCAAGCATCAGCCGTTATCGGATGTCGAAGTCTTGGAGGAGCCTGCTGTGTTTCATCCTTTGGACTTCAAGGGCAATGAAATGGTCGGGTTCACACCTGGTCACAATCCGAATGCAAAGCTTGTGGAGATTTTAGATGAGAATTGATCATTGATTCAAGATTTTAGATGAGAATTGATCATTGATTCAAGATTTTAGATGAGAATTGATTGATTCAAGATTTTAGATGAGAATTGATTATTGATTCAAGATTTTAGATGAGATTTGATTATTGATGCAATTATATCCTTATCGCCCCCCTTCCAAAATAAAATAAAATAAAGTATTTCAATCACTAGTGGTCATTCGGCCAAAGTTAGGGAGTATATCATCCCTTGACATTTCCATAAAGTTCAGGCTTGCTGTTGATATGCAGAGCACGAATCATAGCTTTCGTAATGTTTTATGCATAAGGATTTGTGATTTATGTTGTTCCGTAATCAGTTTTCTTACATTGAATTCTTTAAATGAATTGTAGGAGTGATTTCATTCTGTTTTTGTCTTTGTAAATTTTTAGCATAGTTTTACCAAAGAACACCAACCATGTTTTTGCTACTTACAATTTGTATGTGAAAGTAGGTAATCAATTATCTTAGTTAATGGCAGTGGTTGTAGTTAATGCATGTAACTTGTCCCGAGTGTTTCAAACACTTTGGAAGTACTTAAGTTGCGAATAAGTTTTGGGTGTCAAAGGTTAAGTGTCAAGACTTACCAGTATGCATAACCACAAAGCACTGCTCAAGAATGAAAAAGAAAAAAAAATTGTCTGCAATGCTGCAAATGGTATGAAATATGGAACCACTCGTTTTGGTTTCCTTTTCTTTTTTTTTTTTGGTCCGTGAAATGAAATTTTAAAGTACACCATCTCTACGTGTTTTTCTTATGCCATTTAGTATGTAGGACTAGGATCAAGCCGTGCTATAGTGAATTCTTACTGGGATTTGCTCACATTCCACAGAGGGCGCTCTATAGCATGCTAGTCAGCTTTATTCTGTGTAGGTGCATCATTCCCCTGTTTCAGTGATGTAATCATAAATAGATTTGCATAATTTAAGCATTTTTCACACTTTATCCCTTTCCCTGTAAACTTTAAAGAAAGTCTAACAATGTGAGGACAAATCAGTTACTCGCTACTTTGGCCAATAGAGTGGTTTTTGGATGCTTTTCTATTTTTTTTTCTGGGGGGAAAAAGAGACAAACTGCTTATTGCTGTATTTGAAGTGTTTCAAGAAGAGCAGTGCATGATCATAGTAAGCATCCATCCCAGGTACTGGATGTATCAGGCAAAAGCAAAGATGAAAAGGCAACTTGTCCAATTTCAAAATGTTCTTCAAAAATGGATTGTTCCTTCTATAAAGCCACTAACTGCACACGTTTCTTGCCTTGAATTTGAAATTTCTCGAATTGTTGATGGTTGGGTGTTTTACTTGTTTGATTATTCTGTGTTTATTTAGCCAATCATGGATTATAGGGGAAAAACCTAAATTATGACAATTAGGGCATAGTGTAGAGGTAAAGGTGTTTTATTATTTATGTTCAAGCCTACATTGTAATGTAATATTCTTGATTCTATAAAAATCACATTTCCCAGTTAGCAGTTGAATTCCTACTTAACCTTCAATTTTATTTACGTTTAGTTGTGGAAGGAATGTGGCATTTGCCTTTTTCAAAGTATAGCACAAACACGATGAATACAACATGAAGGGGATTTTTTTTGGTGTGTGTTTTTGTCAATTTGTAGGTTTAATAGAGCAATTAATTAATTTTCCCTAGGTGACAATCATGTTATAGTGCGAGCACAGAATGTCTCGTATATTAACAAGTTACATGCACACTTTCTATACATCCCACACCATGATTGGTTCAGACTGTGTCAAGGTAGCTTCACGAAACTTTAAGCTTTTTGTTAAAAGAAGTGGAAATATTTAGCAAAAAAAGTGCTCAAAAACAAAGCTAGCTTCCAAGGAAAATTACTGAGAAATAAATAATTAACAGGGTATGATAAGACCTAATGAATAATGTTTGTAAAGTGTATATGCTGTGTCTAAGCAACTTGGCTACAACTGCCTACAGCACACGTATATATGGGAATCAGACTTAGCCACACTAAGCTGTGAATTATATTAATGTGAGTGTTATCAGCCGCTGTACTGTAGCCAAGTTATTTGGATGTGGCTTATGTATATTGTGGTTCAACATGTTGCTGTGGCTACTGGTTGCCATGTCAACTGTATTTTTCTTATTTGATGCTTGGATTCAGTAACATGGTGCATAAATCCACAAAAGCATATATTGAAAATTACCTTCAGTGTTCAATATATTTAAAATAAATAGAAATTACTGTTCTTTAGGGATAGCATGACAAAACTGGGAAACTGTGGCATTGTTGACTTTTGAGAAAGGAACATGTATATGCATCTTTTGTAGCAGTTGAAATGATTTGCACCAAAGATTTCTTCCAACAATAGGAAGGAGAAAACCAAAGAGGAACTATCACTCATTCATTAGTAGTATACAACATCAAATCTTGTCTTCTTTTCAAGTAAGGACTGAAATCGTTTGTTTTTGTTGGGGCGAGCGTGGGATGTTGAGGGGGACAGTAACAATGTTGTTTTTACACCCAATGTGACAAATCCTTGAGCCAGACAATTTCTCCAAGGATCAACTTTCTATGAAGGGATATGGAATATGATCGAACCTCATTAAGAGCACTGTCGATACAGAATTCTGCTTATTACAAGGAAATGTCGAGGTCCCAATCATTTGTTTTTCATTGTTTCATTCCCGAGTATGGACTTTGACAAAAACGAGGAAATTCTAATCTTTACAAAACTTTGTACAGTGTTTTTCAATTTACAGTGGCACAGAGCAAAGTGGAAAACAAGGAAATCTGGGGATCTGAGGAAAAGTTGCATGCCTGTAATACAAAGTTCCTGTTAAAACAATGTAATCTGAACATCCAAAGGACCTCTTCTTAACAAGGTTCGACTGCATTTCTGCAGTAACTAATATATATCACTCTAATGGCTTATATCATTAGATTCTTTTTGTTCCTTGATCTACTGAAAACAGCTTAACATTAATTTTTGTATTTTTTTGTTTTGATAACTTAGCAGATTATCAATACTTGTGTTTAGAAACTGCATTCATCGCTTACAAATTAAATGTAGTTTTGTTTTCATCAAGAAAATAATGTATTGTTAAATGTCAATTTCTCATGTTTCATTGTCTAGGAATCAGCCAGTGCTTTAGAAGACGCAGTTGTTTTACGTGAAGAGTTGATACCCAACTCATACACGCATTGTTAGAAACCAGTGCATCATGGGTAATTTCCATGAGATGCTGTGGAATTGTTAGTGTCTATCTCTATTTTTGCTATTTTCCTTTTTTTGCCAGTTGGACAGTTATACAGGTGTTGAAAGCAAGTTTAAATCTGGCATGGATGCCTGAAGGTGTAGGCAAGTTGTGCATTTCTGAAACATTCTCAGTGTCTCCATGATATACATGTACATGTATTTACCAGTACAGTCACATGAATGTTTTTTGGTGACTGCTAGAGGGTGCTTTGTAAAGGCTTAGGTCTGCTTGTGTAAATGGCCTGTACAAAATTGATTCTAAAACAGAGCAAATTAAGACCTCTATAAAGGTTCACGGCATAATTGGTGGAATTTCAAATGCAGTAAACTGTTCACAAGTTTTGCGTCTTGAATACGTGTACTTGCTGAGTACAAATGTGAATAAATATTTGGGCTTACTTTTGCCGCGAATTTGGAAAGGTCTTCTGTGGGTGAAAATGGAAAGTTAAAAAATGACTGTAATTAATTGTGGCAAGTTTGGCCAGTAGGTGTAGTCTTTGTTAACAGCCTGCACAAAGAAATATGCTGTGCAGAAATGGACACACTCCCGTTAAACAAGGCATGTCACAAAGTGTCCCTAATTAATGGGGCTATCACCGTGTGGATTTAATGAGAGTGATTAAAAGTCACTTCTTAAAAATATAAATCTGCAAATGCTTACTTTTCACCAACATGAAACTGGTGTTCAGGCTTAAAGCAGTGTTCATTTGTTCAAATTCTATCCTCCTTCAGTCCACTTTTAGAGAGTACAATTTTAACTTCTGAAAATGAGAAATTGAAATTACTACGTTTTGACCTTTCAAAAACTCGCCACCAGAGAGTTGGACAAGTCCCTCATTTCAAAATTCAATATTCAGGAATTTATTCTGAAGTACTTCAATGTATTCCATTTGACTGAATGGGCCATTTCAGATCAGAAATACTTTCAGATAAACTGGCTTAGCCTTGCAAACAAGCTGTCAAATTGAATATCTAAAGCACTTGTTTAGTCTCTCCAGAAGTCTTCTATCTTCATGTCGACCTCCAGCCACATAGGTTGTCCCTGTTCTGTGCATGAAATCATGCATACAGAGGTTGAGTCTGGTAGCACACCAGAACAAGTACATGTGTATGTGTAATTAACTTGCTGTTTAACTGGAGTGTGTTGATACAGATCATGTCTTTAAATTTCTCCCTGCAATAAGTGCTCTTCCATTGTTTCTAGCATTATTATAAATATTTTGTTCAGCATGAGTAAAAGCCTTTTTTGTAAGAATTAACAAAGCTATTTTTGTAGTGTTTTGCAACACAAAGATTGTGCAAGTTGAATTATTTTGGTGTTTGTTCCCTACTAAATGTTTCTTACACTCCAAGCCCCCTTGAATTGCCTTTTTTAAGACGCAATCTTTTAATCATTTCAAAACTTTGTTTTCAGTAAGGTTTTGTGAAAAACAATGAATTTGAGATCATTCGGGGTCCAAATTAGGAAAACTGAAGTGGTAAATTGAGGGAAAGTTATTTTGTGGCCAAAAGCATTACAAATGCAAGATTTGAGGGGAAATATGAATACAGCGAGACTATCCCCACTGGAAGTTATTTTAAGCTGAAAATGTAACAATGCAAGATTAACCCCTTTGAAGTTATTCTGGAGCAAAATACACAGAATCCCTTCAAATTGTGCCATTTGTTCAAAGATTTATGCCAATTTGAACAGTTGACAAAGAATCTTTACCATAAATTACATTCCAAACAAGGCAGCCAAATCAAAACATGATACACAGAAGAAACAAAAATTTGAAGTACACAGAACTTCAATTTTAACAACAAAAAATACCTGGAGTTTTAACTATTGAATTCAATTTTTTGAAAATATAATCAGATTTTAGTTTTTGCTTTTATTAAAAGTGGAGGCAAGTTTTAAACTGGGTAATAGGTTATGTCAAAACTAGAGTTCACAGAATTGTGTCACTGTCCCCGCCGAATGACCAACATTTCTAATTCCAATGAAAAAAGAGAAAAGATGTGCATGTACATCTACACTAATATAATTCACCATGTTAACACTTTCAATCAAGTTCAATTAAATCATAATTATACCCGGTAACTTATCTGAATCATGCACTGAAATTTAACATGCTGACTTCCTTCAAAGAAAATGGTACAAATTGAACAAAAATTCCTGCTGACGTACGAGAGCCCATAGATCTCATCAATACTGTTGAAGTATGAAGGAGTTTTACCATTTGTAATAAGCAAACCAGTTGTAGAATGTGGAAAAAGTAGCAAATCAACAGTTACTGAAAAAATAGAAACATTTCCTGCCCTTTAAAAATGATTGATTTACACTCCAGATTGAAATCGGCCAACCCTGACAATAATACATTACCAGTCATACTGGTACCCAAGGCACTACATCTGTATTACCCCTGCTCACTGAGCCTGTGATGTATCTTGGAGACAATCTATCTCAAAGGTATGATCAACTTTTACCTTCTGTGCTTCCTTGGTTGCCACTTAGTCACCTTCCGTACATTTTGGGCATCATGAGCAGAGAGTCAGCATCTGTAATTTGTTTTTGGGTGGGAGGGGGTAAAACAACAAGACTGTTTGTTTACTTCTTAAAAATCCCAAAGGAAAAACTCGGGCAGGACCATGTCACATGATTTGACTTCCAGTTGCCCGTCTGAAATCTCGAGTGATTAGGCAAAAATAAATTCATCATAGTCCGCATATTAAAATATTTGTGAAAAAATCTGCCACTTGTAGAAATCTAAATATCACTGATTATCTGCTAATTTGGGTGTTCTAGGCGGGGTACAGAAAGACACATACTCTATATACAAATCTTGATCGGATCTACAATTTGAGATACGCATGTTCATAGGCAGGGGAAGGGCAGACAAAGCTCAGGAACAATCATTTACTTCACAGGGCTGGTCTCATGGAAAGCATTCTCAGTAATTTGTACACATCACAGAGCCACGCTTGCCCCGATACTTTTGTTTTGAAAAGCTGCAGTTGATTTCAGAAAATGTAACAGCTGTCTGGGTAACTCATAAAAAGTAATGCAGAGCCGGAGTTCATCTCTTGATGATAAACAGGATGGAGCTCTACCTACTTCCTGATGATCATTACTGCATTACAGGAAAGCTAAGTTACATATCATTCATGGTAGATGCTTTTCACAATTAAATTGCATCTGCTCATTCAACCTCCAACTGAAAATGGGGCATTCAGCATTCAGAGAAACAGTGTTCTCCAAATTATACAGGTGGCCTAGCAGGCTGACAAGTTTTACCTGACTTTCGAAAATACATGTAGTTGAAAAGCAGCAACCAAGCTTTATAGATACTACATTTTTGGAATATTTCAACTAACACAACATACTCTTGAAACCAAAAAAAACTGTGTATGAATATTCTGAATGCATTCAGTTCCATATTTGGTATAAGATGCCAATAAATGCATTATATTTTTGACGAAGTCCTTCAGTGAGATATGATTTCCCTCCTAATTTTGGTATTTTTGTCACTCCCAACCGAGCGTAAAACCTACAACTTAAACAACGCTGAATTAATTTGCATCTCAAAGCGAAAGCAATTTCTCAACATTTCAAAAGCGCTAAGGAATTTGAATTTCTTGTTTGCCCTAATCTTTACATGCCTTTATGTTGGAGACAGAATCAATGAAAGTTTACTGATCTACTCACACTCTTGGTGAATCAAGTGGGCCAGAATAAGGCCGTAAAATATCTCTTCATCATCTTCAATACCATCTTTGTGACCTTGAGGTTCAAAGGACCTTCAGGAGGGGAAAAATGACAGTAGAAATGTTGAACCCTTCTGTTTTTTTCAGGGGGGGGGTAACGTATTTAAATGTTCGGTTGATGAAGATGTAGAGAAGATGCATCAACTGCTGCAGCAGTCACCAACAGTCAAACATTCCTTCCATTTGATCTCCATACGATTTACCCCAGTACACAGACACATGACAAGACCGATAAGACAAATTTGTCAAGAATGCATCTTGGCATATGAGTGTTGTAATCAAACTCTGTAAAGATGGTTCTATCCTCATGGTGCTGGGGGAGGGGATAGAGTGTTGCAGTGGGCGGGACAGGGCAGGACTGAGGACACAGGTAGATGATGGGTGAGGAAGGATGAAACAGGGTGAGATTTGTGGGGGTTGGGTTAGCTTCAGGTTGGATAGTATAGGGGTAATGTGTGGGTGAGATGGAGTCAGGCGGGTGGATGCATGGGGTGACTTGGGAGGGGAGTAATGCGTTGAGGGTTTATTAGGTACAATTGGATTGGGTGGGGTGAGTTGAGGGGCTGGGCGAGGTGAATTGGGTTTGGGTGAGATAAATTGGGGTTGGATGGGGTGAGTTGAGGTGGTTGGAGTTGATCAGGTTGGTGATGGAGAAGAGTTGGGATACTTGGTTGGATGGAGTGAGTTGGGGACTGGGTGGGTTGGGGTTTGGATATTGGGACAACTTGTAAGGCAGGGTAAGATGGATTGGAGCCTAGGTTTGGTGGGTGGAGTTGATCAGGTTGGTGATTGAGAAGAGTTGGGATTCTTGGTTGGATGGAGTGAGTTGGGGACTGGGTGAGTTGGGGTTTGGATATTGTGACAACTTGTAAGGCAGGGTAGGATGGGTTGGAGCCTAGGTTTGGTGGGTGGAGTTGATCAGGTTGGTGATTGAGAAGAGTTGGGATTCTTGGTTGGATGGGGTGAGTTGGGGACTGGGTGAGTTGGGGTTTGGATATTGTGACAACTTGTAAGGCAGGGTAGGATGGGTTGGAGCCTAGGTTTGGTGGGTGGAGTTGTGCAGGTTCATTTCAAGATCCCAGTCATGATAACCCTGCTTCCTACTTCTGTTTGATGCATTTCCAGCACAACTCATCACTATTTCTCCAATGTTATTATGTAGAAGGGAACTAATATGACAACAGAAAAATGTTGCTGGCCTCATTTCAAAATATTTCCTGCCATCAAATTGGGTTTGATGTGAAATATGCCCAGCACTGCATACAAGCAGAAATGATTTAACAAAACTGTGTAGAAGTTCATTTTATTCTACATCAAGCAACTATTATCTCACAAAGGTGTGCATTTGTAAAATCTATTTATCATTGTGCAGTCAATGAATTTCAATTTGTTAAAATGCAATAATTGGCTCGCTTACATCAAACTTCAATAGTGGTGCCAAACACACACATACACCTGTGCTACAAACAATGCACAAATCAAAAATACTCCAACGTGTCTAAGGTGCTTTCAGAAAAATTTCATTTCAGTAAAGAAAACATGTAACTGCTCACTTTAACCTATAACATTCAGTGACAATAAAACTTGCGATATATCACCTAAAAATTCTACCAAAATATTTTTGACAAAGACAATTCACTTAATTATGGTAGAACATTCAAACCTGTAGTTGTTTACACACAAATACAGCAATATCTATCTTTTAAAGCCAATCCTGAAAAAAAGTTAGCTGAGTTCCAAAAAATGTTGATTTTTCATTAATGCAGTCTATGAAATGAACAATTGGATACTACACACATCAGAATTTGAAACTGTAATTGAAAATGGATCAGTTACATGTAGCCATGCCCTTTATTTTGAAACCACAAGATAAAAAATGGCATAAAGTGGCCCCAACTTGGAGAACGCAGGTTGGTTTTTAACTGTCTTTCATAAAGTCATCGTATTTCACAGCTTAAGAACTAGAATCTCAAGAGTCTGAGTTGAGTTGAGAGTTGGGTTGAAAGTTCTGAGGGATTGAGTCATTTGCTCTCGGTGACTGAGTCAGTTATCTGTATAGTCACATGACTCAAGTATCGATTCTGGATTATGCAGGAGGTGGGTACTTGCAGACTGCATTGAAAATGTATGTGCATTCAAAATCATGCCAAACGTAGTTACGAATAGCACCACAATCAGACCCCTCAGTGACTCCATTAGGCTGGTCTGGCTTCCAATTCCTGTAGCTGACCTCCACTCCTCCTTCATTACACTCCCAAATTCCCTCGTTGGCCAGGTCACTGCAGTCGATCCAAATCCCACCAGCTCCTGGCAGCAATGCCTGGACGAAATTACTCTCTTCTAAAGAGCGTGGGACAACCAGAATACCACCCAACTTATTGCACTCATCTCGAGCTCTGGACCACTCAAAGGTGGACTCTGTCAACAAGTAGCAAGAGCCACCCCAAAGATGCCACCCTGCTGGACAGTGGGATCCCAATGGTCGACATCCGGCTTTGACTTGGGGGACAAAACAACTAGCCAAAATAGCAACGGTAACAAGTGACGAATGCATGTTGCTTCTTATCGAGACAGTGGTGTTGACAGCAAGGTACATGTATCTCACTTGTGTCTCTCCCCAGATGCGTGTAAATTAAAAATGGTACCTACAAGTAACAGCAGTTACAGCCAATCCATACATGTACGGCTAACTCAAAAAATGACAAGTCAAGTTCACTTGTTGACTATGAATGAAAGATGGCTTGGAACAAAAGGGCAAACGTTTTGATCAAGAAATTGGTTAGTAACGCATCACGTGTATTGGTAAGTTAGCTCGTTTCTTTGCATTGCTAAGTGACGCTACACACCTGAGACAAGATGACCATTTGTGGTGTGTGAACTAGGACCTGTAACAAAAGATGGATGGACAGAAATATTGATTGCTGGATTTAATTAGAGTGTTCACCAGAGTGGAAGCTAATTGGGTCTGAAGTGTCCTCAGATTTCACTGTCGGCATAAGGATGCTGCAGTCAACAGTTGTAAACTCAATATAATTGTAAGAACGTTTTTCTTTTTCATACAAAGCATGAACGAATTTGGAAGAAAAAACTACACTTAGAAAACAGTGGGAAAGTTAATTACTAAAGAAATAATAAGGAAAAACAACTGATTTTTAAAAATGTCTTCATTAACCTGTAAGGAAAAAGGACTGTTCTTGATCTTGTGTCCACCATGAAAGCTCACAGGACCTGCCAACAGATAATGTTGCAATTACTCTGTATATTCAAGTCATAAATGACAGTTTCAAAAAATGTATTGTAATCCACTGAAGTCAGATGCGATGCTTGCTTCTGGCTTAGATGCTCTACTGGAAGATCCCTTAACCTTACAAATGCAAAATATGCCTGTTCAGCCAGAGTGGCCCATTAGGTGCTGCCCCTGAAATTAAACTGGAAACCCTGTGGCAGTTTACAGCGACAAGCTACCTACAGGTTGTGGGAACACATATGTGCAGTTAAATCGTGCCATCCCTTTTGCCAAGTAAGGCCATTCAATCCTCTTTACCTCCACTGGGCTGATTTCAGAATCCATGCACTCCCAACTATCCTTAATGGT